AATCACGAATAACAAGTGTTTCTAATTAGAACACATAACCGCGATTCAAGCTTTCCATGACATTTAATTCATCTCCTCGATTTAGGCAAAAAAACGAATAATCTTGACTTCTTGAAATTAGGACACATTAAGGTTGAATAAATATGAGTTCTACTCCGATTTCTATTAGTTTGGCTATTAGCTCTAAGTTCTTTTCACTAGTAACTTCCTCGTTTTATGTATTCTTGCATAGTGAATTTTGAATGTGTTATGTATGAATGATTCTATTTTGTTAAGAGCCCCCAACAGCATTATTTTCTAAACGGAATATCCAGACGATGCAGAGGAAAAAGCGATAACTTACTCCAGCAGTCCAATTGAATATCTAAAGCAAACACAACCAAACTTATTCATTTGAATTCATTGGCGAAAATAAATTTAAATTAAACCAATCATATAGGTTTGCAGCATTTCACTTATTTTTACAGACTGTATGCTCTTGCAATTGGTTGGAGCTATTTGGATGGCTTTCATATGTTACTTTAGTTATTTAAACTATTTATTGATATTTCAAGTACATTGATACATTGGTACGCTTTAAAATCAAGCAACATTCGTATCGATTTACTACTGAAAGCTTCATTAATGTATTATCGATTTCCCCCTTTTTTTATTATCTTGTTATATGCATACATTTGTGCTTACCTTTTAACATTTAATACATTTGATAGCGATTTACGCTTCAATCCATACCCTATTTCAAGATGTAATTGGCACTTGTCTTTAATATTTGGTAAATATTGGCTAAACGTGATTTAGCTTTTACCACTTAATGGATAATGGATTTCGCTTTTTTCACGTGCTTAGTTTAGGTCCAAGTCACATGTACTGAGTATTTTCACTTGATCGTGAAGAGACGAAAAATGCGAGAGAAATAAATTGCGGAATTTCTCACAGGCAAAATAAAACTCGTTTAAAATTCACTTAAATTAAAATACTCGTGAGTGTGAAGACCCTAAAAATTACATCATTCGCTCTCATATTTGAACACCTGGGAGAATTTATTAGGTGCGCATAAACTAATTACGCGAAGTTAGCTCTATCGATCGATTTACGTAGAGACCTCTGCACTAACTGTGAAATTGTGGTAGCGGAAAATTCTGTTCTTTAGGCACTTAATGCGAATCATGATGGCCTTATCAATAGAAATTTTGAGATCTATGCTTTTCTCAAGGAATTGCTGTTAATTAAGTGCGGACGTGCTCGCAAGCAATCTAAAAATAGATAATGCAAAATTTTCGAGCAATTCCACTGAGCGCCATTGCCCTGTGATAAGGTTACTTTGTGCGTTTGGTTTGTGGACTTAGATGTCTTTGTTGAAAAACGTGCTGTAGCCTAGTTTCATGCTGGCTTAGCACAGCAGAAGATAAGATTAAAATCTGACAAATAGGTCTATTAAAAGAAAGCAAAAATTGCACAATTTTTTAAATATCATCAAATACTGATATTATTTCTGTTGTCAATCATTAAAGTGAGTTTTAACAACTTCAACAAATAGCTTTACACTGTTCTTAAAGTTCCAATATATTATTATTATTATTATTAGATCAAATGGCAGGCGTTTTGATTGTTATCATTAGCCCCTTAGTTGACTTCAGGCTTCACAGAGGGGAAGGAACATCAAAGTATAAAAAATTCAAGAGGGGGGCAGAAGAGTGTATCAAAGACGAAGGTAGATTAGGTGAAAAAAGGTGGGATGAGTACTGTGAAGGTAGTCGAATATGACATACAGTGGGGTCATGGAAGTTTGAAGTCAGAAGTCAACTGCCGAATAATAGACTTTTTTGCCGTATGAGTATACGTTGCCCAGGTTGCACCACGTGGAGGTAAGTCTTTCGCACACCCCATTCCAATATATCTTTGACTGGAAAAGGATTTAAATAACATCGAAAGGCTGTTTTATTTGAAATGTAATGTCTACAAACAGAGGTTAAGCCTAAACTAAGATTAGTCCTCGTAATAAACTTTAATTTTTACAACATTTGAAATAATATAAGCTTGTATATTTTAGCGATTCGTCTTGTTGTTATCGAACAAAAGCCTCCAATATGTAAATATGCAACAACGAGACAACTACTTAACATTATAAGTAGTATAGGATGAGCATCTGATAGCTTGGAAATTTGACTTTGGAAGAAACCTAGCGAAACCAATACTTGTTAAGAACAATCGTTGACTCATATTGTGAGCTTCCAATCACATGTTAAAAATAATTTCAGTTCTTCAAAATACTGCTTAAAGCGAAATTCGTAACTGCTTATAATTTAACTACAGCTCCTTCCATCTGATACAGTGCTTGCGCGAGAACATTCAGACGGGAGATTAGGTCATCGAAGCAACTCTGTTTTGCCTTTTTAAAGGCTTTAATATTCTCCAACCTCACGGAATCGAGCATGCTTGAATATTTTAAATCGGCAGCCAATCGTTAAATTGTTCAAAACCACTTGGACCACAGTGGCTATAAGACAAAGCCTAGTTAGCTAGCGTAGGATTAGCCTAGTTGCTGTTGCTGTGATCGTGATGCAGCTAATCGACGATTGACTGCCACGCATATTGAAAAAGGCGAGCTCAGAAATGTAATTACTTCATGACGTTCCTTAGCATGGTCTGGAAAATATATCCCTGACTTATGTTGCTGTATTCAAGATAAGGTGGAATTAATCATCGCAAATAGTTAACACAATTAAGCAGTTAGCGGACAAATCGAAGACTAATTGATGCTGATTGTCATCGCCATGTCGTGCTTGCATTGATGATGACTTGGATTTGGAGTTACTTTTCCATCCAAGACAAAACATTAGCTGTAGAGGCTTTAATTGCTTGTCATTTTTTTCCACAGAATAGCACAAATTTAAAGTGTAAAGCATTTTGTCACGAGCGCTAATAATCTGATGCAAATGTATTGTGTCAAAAATTTGTTGTACCTTTTCATTATTTGTGTAAATCAGTTCTGAGGCAGTCCCTCCACAATACGAGGTCAGTGACTACTTGGGCTTATATGTCAAAATTGTTAATTTCAAGTTTCTACCTGACCTTCCGATTTTCATCTTCAACACCCCCCCCCACTCGGACGTGCTATTTCTGTTCCCTTACACCATCTTTTTTAGTGGTAAGATATACTGACATTAAATGGGCAAATTTTCTCCATATCTTCAATCAGTACCTACTATCTTTTCAGTTTTGCAATTACGTAATTACCTTGGTAAATTGAATGAAATTAATTAGTTAACGTTGAATGAAAAGATCGGCATAAATAAAAATTATCAAATATTCGAGGTATAATGGTGCATTGTTGAAATATCACGTGAGACTGTATTTGACACAATTAGTCTGCCGTGAGAAATCTTATCACAGCCACACTACTTAAAAATAAGCTAGTAGCATAGATAAAAAGTATGCATAATCAATAATTCTAGATACATCACTGTGATGGTGAAAAGCAGCGAAGTTTTATACATTAGCAATGAGAAATATGATAATTAAAAGCGCTCAGAAGAAATATTATACATAGTTAACTTAGATCAAAATGAATGTATTTCATTCTGGGTCTGAGTAAGGAGAGAAACTCGCAAAATTGTATTAGACATGAATTTCATTTTAAAAATGATTCATTTGAAGCTATCTGCAACCAACTGTAGCCAAACAATAAGGCATTAACATTAGATAGCGGTTGGAAAAACGCTTAAAAGTTTCTAAATGGGATTCTGCAATGCCATAATATTATGCGTAAGTAAGTAGAATAAATAATAACAAAGATAAATCATTAGCAAATAATTTTTAAGAAAAAAAGTCACTAATTCAACTTCGCCCTTTCCTGAAGTGCTCTGATTAAAAATTTCAGAAATACTTAAAAGGATTGAGAGAAATACACTTCGAAAAGTATTTTTGACACATTTATTACCAGTGAGAGTGAAATTGTATATAAAGCAACACTTTCAGGTTTGGTGCAATGAAAACAATTGGAATATAAATAACGATGCCAAAAATTCCGATGAATATAACAGCTACTGATAACAATTTCAGTAAGAAAATGAGACTAATTTTAAAAGCATGGAAAATTCATCCATGATAACGATGAAAGGAAGCATTTACATTTCCAAGTTTATATCTCGAATATAGTGGTTAAGGAAGAGACAGGTTGAAGCATAGGGAATTAAAGGAGCACTATACAAACACAGCGACTAGCAAATAGGCTGGATTTATAAAAAGTAAAACTCCCTGGTGCTTCTAATGCGATAGATATATTTTCGGTATTAAATTACAAATTTATTTAGGAAAGTTAAATAAAACAAAGATGACTTAGTATATTGAAGAACAATTACATTGCAGTGATTAATGTGTTCATATACCACCTTAGATATCATGAATTTAGACCTTATCAATTCACAACTCGTTGATGGAGTTGTCAACCGAATTGGCTAGGTCTAAGCATAGAAGAGGGGAGCGGAAAAACTGGCGAAAGGGTTCAAAATGAAGTACTTGTCAGCAAACTGCTTGGATTTTCTGCTTGCTTTTAGCATATTTTGTGACAAACAGCCTGAATGTTTGATGTAATATCTGTGGTCTGTCCTTAGATGAAATTAATTACCCTTTGTAAGAATAGGTGGCACCTAATATTACATAATTTTTAATCATACATCCGAAGTGTACTTCCAAGGTTATGTATTGCTGGATTATTTTATAATGTGTCGGAACCTAGAAAATGGTTATGTTCAAACTAAGTAAATCACGACGATGGGAAAAAACTCTACAAAACTGGAGAAACAAGTAAAAACAAACATTATTAAATTATAAATTGAAAAGTTAAATGAGCATTTATATTTAGTGGAAATGATTTTAATTTTTAAATCAAGCAAATTCATTAAATCAATAGTAAGTTCAAGTTTAATTGCTGATACAATTAGCCAATCAGAAGTTCCTAACTAACCGCGTTGCTCGTTATTTTTGCTGATCAGATTGTAATGCCTTCGTTGAGTATTCGTTATCCCACTGGTCACTTGGACGAGATTCCTGTTGTACCCACGGAACCAATCATTAAAGTATTAGAGGCAGCTTGTGTAAAGAGGTCATTAGATCCGAAACTGTATAAATTGGTGTGAGTCAAAGAAGTAATTTTGTGCTAGAACGAATTATTTGTTCATTACTGATTACATATTTCCATTTTCAAGGCATAATAGGAAGAATGTTGATTTAAGTGTTCCATTCCGCTTATCTGGGTTGACCAACCGTGCCACATTGGAACTAGTTTCTTGCGACCAAGCCACAGTGTCGAATTGCAAAGTTCGTATTGGAGTTCGCTTACAAAATGGTTACAGAGCTGAATGGAATGGAATGTCAGACTCGACTATTTGGAGTGTTTTAGAATCACTTGCTTCTAAAGATGAAAGGTACTCTCGGGCTTTTGCTACTTAGTCAAATTATAAATTGTCAAAAGTAACTATTTTGTTTCGAATCTTTAGAATAGCAGATATGCTCACAACGTCTTCAGATGATTTGGTGCCTACGGTTATGTATTTACAAAATTATGTTTGTTTCCTTTTCTAATTTTCTTATTCCCATAGTTTGGGGGTGAGGACATTCTTCGTCAGACTACTTTAAGTAGTTTGGGTATTCGAGATTCGGCTCTTTTTCAACTAATGAGGAGACAAGCACCACCGCCAACTACTAATTTGAAATCTAAAACACCGGGTATGCATTTATTTCTATTATTGATTTTTTTGTTTGGTCACTTCGTCTTAAATACAGTTCTATGTATTGCTATCACTTTTTTTATAATATTGATTAGTGGAGGCTTAATTAATAACAGCAACTTCATTGACTAATGGATTCGAGAACTGTTTTTCCTATTTTGAATTTCTCTTTCCTTTTCAATTAGTTCTATAATCTGTATGAAAATCTACAGTAAGGTCTTGGTGAGTTTTAAATGTCTAGATTTTTAACATATAAAGTTAGTTGCTGGTAGTTGCTTTTCAGAAACCATTGCTCCCGATCTTCACCAGAATGTGCACAAAATAAACTTTCTGTTAAAGAAAATGTGGATTTTACACTTAATAAGCTGTGGGAATCGACACCACTTTGTCCATAGTATATAGTTAGACTCCACTCGGAATATTGCCTCAAAGAAAATTTATATCAGAATTAAATTATGTCTTCTAAATATTTGAGATATCAGCAAGAAATACCACATTTCACAATTGAGTGTTTGAGTTCAGCTTGTTTCCAGTCACTGTGGTGGAAACATTTCCTGGTAGACGATTTGTTCAACAATTTTTTTGCGAGGAATACATTTTATGTCATTGTGATAGGTAATTAAATGATGTGTCAAAATGAAGACTATATAGTATTTTGATGATGTAATTCAATCTACGGTTGTATCATATCCTCAGTTAACTATGGAGGAATTTTTGGGTTAACTCACTTGAAGCGATGCTATTTTGAGCACTGCATCAACGCTTTTAGCATATCAAGATGAGAGAAAAAATATATGCATTTCTTCGTTGTCCTGTGAAAATAGGTTTTCTTATTTTTACATTAAATTGCTACTGGTTTGAGAATTTGATGGTTTACGACAACGTTAGTGGAAAAAATAAAATTGAACACAGATTGCATTCTCTAAGCCAAGCCAAAACTGCTACTTTGCATTTGGTGGGACGCGTGTGTGGACTAATCCATTACGAATAGTTAAAACTGAGTGAAGCAGTTACAGTCGAAGTTTGTTGTTACAAGCAATTGTTGTGACAAAAACAAGAAATAAAAATTTAAACGGACAGGATCATTTAACGGAGAAGAGGTAATGATTTTTAGCAATGACCAAGTCCACCTTGCCCCACAAAGCATGAATAAGATAAAAAAACTGAGGAGCTTGATACACTTTTTTTTCAATGTCTTTCATATCCACTAAGCGTCTTCTCATTCAAATATCACCTTTTCAGGTCTAAGGAGTATACTTTTGGGGAAAAGTGATTATAAAATGCGACTGTATTTTCTTTGAAGAAGTTGGGTCTAAGAACCTTAAGAACAATTGGGAAGGGTTTGCAAATGATGCGGAAGTTATCTCAAATAGCAGCATATACACAATGTGTAACTAAAAAAAGTTCATGTTTTTTCTAAAGAAACTATTTTTTATAGTCACCCCCC